ACGTGACTACACATCTGTTGCTATTCTCGTGTTACTACATTATGACAATAACACGAATACTGCCCTTATTCAATGATATAACATGTATATCTGTACGTCTACATATTTGTGTTACTGTCCTTGGGGTACTGCAGTATACCAATTTCATTAATAATATACTTATGATATTCCAATATGATAATATGTGTATTGTCTTCCTAAGCAATACACGTGTATACACCGCTTTAACTATGCAGTCTTACGCACTACGATATGATAACACATACGTTGTTCTTGCTACTATGTGCAGACACATATTTTGTCCGTGAGCTGCTGCATTAATTACTCATGTGGCATACACGTATGTTGCCCTTTTGCACCTATGATCACATATATTGTCCTTATGGTCTCTGTGAGTGGGGCCGGTGGTAGCCTAGTGGTTAAAGCGTTGGCTCGTCACGCCGAAGACCCGGGTTCGAATCCCCACATGGGTACAATGTGTGAAGCCCATTTTTCTGGTGTCCCCAGCCGTGATGTTGCTGGAATATTGCTAAAAAGGGCGTAAAACCAAACTCAGTCAGTCAGTCAGTCTCTGTGTGTGGCAACACGTTTCCCGTATAATACTATGGTATACCACGAACATTGTCCTTAACTCTAACATATGTCCTGTTAATGCTACATAGGATGATAACAAACATTTTTCCTTATGATACAATAGTTTGATAACACTCACATTTTCCTTTTGATACAATAGTATGATAACACTCACAATTTCCTTATTATACCATGGTCTGATAACACTCACATTTTCCTTATGATACAATAGTATGATAACACTCACAATTTCCTTATTATACCATGGTCTGATAACACTCACATTGTCCTTATAATACCATTATATAACACTCACGCTTTCCTTATTATACCATGGTCTGATAACACTCACATTTTCCTTATGATACAATAGTATGATAACACTCACAATTTCCTTATGATACAATAGTATGATAACACTCACAATTTCCTTATTATACCATGGTCTGATAACACTCACATTTTCCTTATGATACATAGGATGTAAACACTCACAATTTCCTTATTATACCATGGCCTGATAACACTCACATTTTCCTTATTATACCATGATATAACACTCACTCTTTCCTATACACTCACACTTTTTCCTTATGATATCACATTTTCCTTATTATACCATGGTCTGATAACACTCACATTTTCTTTATTATACAATGAATGGTCTGATAACACTCACATTTTCCTTATGATACAATAGTATGATAACACTCACAATTTCCTTATGATACAATAGTATGATAACATTTTCCTTATTATACCATGGTCTGATAACACTTTTTCCTTATATGTAAACATGATTTCCTTATTATACCATGGCCTGATAACACTCACATTTTCCTTATTATACCATGATATAACACTCACTCTTTCCTTATTATACCATGGTCTGATAACACTTACATCTTCCTTATGATACAATAGTATGATAACACTCACATTTTCCTTATTATACCATGGTCTGATAACACTCACATTTTCTTTATTATACAATGAATGGTCTGATAACACTCACATTTTCTTTATTATACAATGAATGGTCTGATAACACTCACATTTTCTTTATTATACAAAGATTGGTTTGATAACACTCACATTTTCCTTATTATTCCATATCCCCGATGATAACTATGGTATGATAACGTATTTTCCTTATGATATCATGGTATGATAACACACATTTTCCATATGATTGCCTACGAGCATGTTACCCTGGTGTCAAAGTACAGGGGCGGTGGGGTAGCTTAGTGGTTAAAGCGTTGGCTCGTCACGCCGAAGACCCGGGTTCGAATCCCCACATGGGTACAATGTGTGAAGCCCATTTTTCTGGTGTCCCCCGCCGTGATGTTGCTGGAATATTGCTAAAAGCGACGTAAAACCAAACTCAGTCAGTCAGTCAGTCAAAGTACAATCTTCAAATTCGTTCCGTGGTAGGGGCATAAGTGGCCCAGTTGAGTTTCGTCACAAGTGAACACTAAAACCTACGAATGTCGGATCATATCTCATTAGACCGGAATATGTCTTTGAAGAGGTAAACGACAAGAGCCCGGCATCCCTTTGGGCTTTCTTCCCACATCCAGTCGACACTGTGTAAAGCGGAGTCAAGCCCAACTCATTTATTCATTTCCTGAACCGTAGGTGTGTCAGTACCACCTTTCCTCCCAATATGATGGCATCATCTACCTTTACCCAAATATCACACTATATCTCACACGCTACTGTTCGTATCGCATGAACTATTGTATGCGAGCACATGCAGAAAGTGGATATATTGCCATAACATTTAGGTGGAATTCAAAACCAGGAATGTTCCAAGAATTCTCGAGGAGTCATGTGATGGGGTCGGGGCGAGTTACGGAGCAGCTGGCACCGGTTGTCGGGATGACACTGGAGAGGGCTGCTGGGGGGAAGGAAGTGATCACTTTCAATGATTCAGTTAACCCATGTCTGGATCCCATATCCGAGTCACGTGACTCCCTTCCAGACGTCAGCTGGTGTCTGGCCCAGGTAACCTATCTGAGTATTAACTGACATATCGCACGAGCATCACATGTTGAACGAGGAGGTACATAGCGCGGATAAAATGTATTCTAACGTGCACCAAATGATATCGTTTTATTTGTGATTTATGTACCTGGGAAATATAGATAGGCAATGCGCCAGTTTCAACGAATAACACAATCATTATATCTACATGAATACAACAGCATCTATTTGTGTATTGTAGTCTCCGGTAGGCAGTGACAGAGGGTGACCCTCGCTGCAAGGTATAATAGGCGGGTACATATGATACAGTAGTCGCATGCAAAGAGCTCTCCCCGTGTCGTGACACAGTAATAGTGCGTACGGTGACGTCTCATGTGTTCTGACACAATAGAGCAGATAGTCACGTGTCTCACCAGTCATTGTTAGTAGTAGCGTATCTCACCTGACATCGTTGGTAGTAGCGTATCTCACCTGTCATTGTTCGTAGTAGCGTATATCACCTGTCATTGTTGCTAATAACGTATTTCATATGTCATTGTTGGTAGTAGCGTATCTCACCTGGCATTGTTAGTAGTAACATATCTCACCTGGCATTGTTGGTAGTAACGTATTACAGCTGTCATTGTTGGTAGTAACGTATCTCACCTGACATTGTTGGTAAAGGCGTATCTCACCTGGCATTGTTGGTAGTAACGTATCTCACCTGTCATTGTTGGTAGTAACGTATCTCACCTGACATTGTTGGTAGTAACGTATCTCACCTGTCATTGTTGGTAGTAGCGTATCTCACCTGTCATTGTTGGTAGTAACGTATTTCACCTGTCATTGTTGGTAGTAACGTATTGTTGGTAGTAACATCTCACCTGTCATTGTTGGTAGTAACGTATCTCACCTGACATTGTTGGTAGTAACGTATTTCACCTTGTCACAGCTGTTGGTAGTAACGTATTTCACCTGTCATTGTTAGTAGTAACGTATTTCAGCTGTCATTGTTGGTAGTAACGTATTTCACCTGTCATTGTTGGTAGTAACGTATTTCACCTGTCATTGTTGGTAGTAACGTATTTCACCTGTCATTGTTGGTAGTAACATATCTCACCTGTCATTGTTGCTAATAACGTATTTCACCTGTCATTGTTGGTAGTAACGTATCTCACCTGTCATTGTTGCTAGTAACGTATTTCACCTGTCATTGTTGGTAGTAACGTATCTCACCTGTCATTGTTGGTAGTAGCGTATCTCACCTGTCATTGTTGCTAGTAACGTATTTCAGCTGTCATTGTTGGTAGTAACATATCTCACCTGTCATTGTTGGTAGTAACGTATTTCATATGTCACCTGTCATTGTTGGTAGTAACGTTTTTCACCTGTCATTGTTGGTAGTAACGTATTTCAGCTGTCATTGCTGCTAATAACGTATTTCAGCTGTCATTGTTGGTAGTAACGTATCTCACCTGACATTGTTGGTAGTAGCGTATCTCATCTGACACTGCTGCTAGTACCGTATTTCAGCTGTCATTGTTGGTAGTAACATATTTCAGCTGTCATTGATGGTAGTAACATAACTTATCTCACCTGTCATTGTTGCTAATAACGTATTTCATATGTCATTGTTCGTAGTCACGTATTTCACCTGTCATTGTTGGTAGTAATATATCTCACCTGGCATTGTTGGTAGTAACGTATTTCACCTGGCATTGTTGGTAGTAACATATCTTATCTGACATTGTTGGTAGTGACATATCTCACCTGTCATTGTTGGTAGTAACATATCTCACCTGGCATTGTTGGTAGTAACATATCTCACCTGGCATTTTTGTAGTAACATATCTCACCTGGCATTGTTGGTAGTAACATATCTCACCTGTCATTGTTGGTAGTAACATATATCACCTGGCATTGTTACATAGTAGTAACCTATCTCAACCGTCATGACACAGTAATAGTAAATATGATAAAGTCTCACCTTTCCTGGTACAGTAATAACAGGTAGTAACGCGTGTCACATGTTCTAATAAGTAATAACAGGCAGTATCGTGTCTCACCTGTCCTGATAAGTAATAGCAGGTAGTATCGTGTCTCACCTGTCCTGATAAGTAATAGCAGGTTGTATCGTGTCTCATCTGTTCTGATAAGTAATAACAGGTAGTAACGTGTCTCACCTGTCCTGATAAGTAACAGCAATTAGTAAAGCGTCCCACCTGTCCTGATAAGTAATAACATGTAGTAACGCGTCTCACCTGTCCTGATAAGTATAATAACAGGTAGTAATGCGTCTCATTTGTCCTGATACAGTAACCGTATTTAGTTTTGAGTCTCACCTGCACTGGTACAATAAAAGTAGGTAGGTGAGCATTTTACCCGTCTCTGTACTTTAACAGTAGGTACGCGAGCGTCTCACCTGTTTCGATACTTTAACATTAAGTAGTAATGTGTCTCACCTGTCATGATGCTGTAGTAGTTGGGGTAGGAGGTTGTCGGGAAGTCTGGCTGTAAGTACTCGGCGCGTACCCCAGTACGCATGATTCGACGGAATCCATCCTCCCCAAAACCGTCGTAGTCCAGGTAGTCCCATCTCACGCCGTCCACCAACAGCACTATGAGCTTCTGGGACTCACATCGCAGGAGAGAGGGGAGACAGGCTGCGGTGAAGAAGAGTACGAGTGCGAGGCCCCGCGCCATGCTGGGCCGAGACTGGCCGGTTGCTGAGGAGTCGGGAGGAGGAATGAGGCTCCGGTAGTCTTGGGCTCGCTTTAAAAACTATCTAGTGCGTGATCGAAATATAAACTCATCCTGTCGTTTAAAAACGTCTGTTTGCGTAGCAAGCTGGCTTTACGGGTTATAGGTAACATTGAAATATAATTACAGAGGATGTGTGCTTTTCTGAACATGATTTTGTTTCTGTATGAGGTAACTAGTGAGGTTCCAGCTCGGAATGAAATATAATAACATAACATTGAAACTCAAATGTAAATAAGGAAGGCTGTGTACTTGTCTAGTAATAGTAATACTGTAGTAATAGTCCGCTTGTATGGAGCTCATATCCAGGCACATTGCCTGCTCACGGCGCTACGTACATTACTATCACCGGTCACAGGACACGATAGTACTTTCCGATACTTTTTCAACTCCCTAGGGATCATACAGCCATGTTGCCTGTTAAGCGCAATGAACTAAACACTCACATTGCCAGCACATCCTTACGGGTACCCATTTTACTGCTGAGTGAACTGAGACAATGTGGATCTAAATATCTTGTCCAAGGATACTATGCAAATGTGCCCACCTCGGGACCCGAACCTAGGTGCCTCTACCGGGCCTTCAGCGTGATAGGCAGACGCCTTGCCACTGCACTATTGCCCTCCACAGTAAGAACAGGTAGTAACTTGTCTGAACATATGCATAATTTTATTTCCTAAACATGGTTTTCTTAAATTATCGTGCATAATAAGTTAACTTGACTTGAAGTTTCAATGCTTTCAGTGTACAAAGACGGGATATCAATGTTAGATATTGTTTAACGAACAAACAATGGTATTTTGGGCCGAATGAGCAACCGATGGTATTTGTGACTGGATGAACAAGTAAGGATCGATTTGATTGGGTGCAAAATCAGTGATAGATTTGGCGAGAAGAAACACCAATGGCAGATTTGCATATAACGTCCTATGGCTGATTTTCGTAAATAAGCAGCCAATATTAAATATGACTAGATGTACAACCAATGGCATATTTTGGTAGATGAACAGTCAGTAGTAGATCAGGCTAGCTGTACAACCTATGGCATATGTTGGTAGATGAAGGTCAGTAGTAGATCAGGCTAGCTGTACGACCAATGGCAGATTCAGTCGCCTGCCTGCACTGCCACACCACCTGTCTCATAACATGTCCAAGAACCTGCAGGTACAAAAGTTAATGAATATACACTATACGCCAAAAGAAACGTTACCCTCCGTCCTTAATGACGGAGGTACCTATCTTCAGCTGGCGTTGTGATGCGTGGACGTCCACTTCTTGGTCTGTCTGCGGTGACCCCAGTCTGTCTGAAGCCCTGAATAAGTCTTATAACCGTGATACGATGGCATCCGAGGGCGTTGGCAACAGCACCATTACAATGGCTCTTTTTTCTCTCTTCAGCTGTTAATCGTGGCATATTTCTCGTACTTGTGTATCATATCATGCATTCTAGGTTCTCTTCATACCCTATAGAATCATTCTACATGTGAAATGGATGCAAATACTGCTTCGATATTGCTGGGTTTTGGCGATTGATATTGCTATGTGTAAACAGAAAATGGAAAAATGTTACTTTGCAAGCAAGAATGTTAACAAAGATAATTTTAAAGGTTCCTAAAAACGTTTTCACAATATCAAAGACACTTTTACTTGTTTTTACTAATGCAAATCAGCAGACAATGTTTTAAAAGACTGAACTCATAGGAATGATTATTTTACAATTTTACACACTCTACAGTTGTTTCTTGTTTAATAGTTGAAAAATGGTGACTTTAAATGGTTTATCTTTGTCTCATAGCAGAATTGTATTTCAACGTTTCTTTTGGACATCTAAATCACTGTTTTTGGTTTATTTCGGCATGGACGAAAATAGGACAATTAACTCTTCTGAAAAAGATGCATTTCACCTAAATATGAATGCATTTGAGAATTTTGTTTCCTGATTTGCATAAAGCTGTGTTGTTAAGCTTTCTTGTAAACTAATACCTTCCAACATATTTTTGATAGTTTTTAAGTAATTCATAAATGTAGGAGGGTATCGTTTCTTTTGACGTTTAGTGTATTTTGTTATATATTTGGTCGATAAGGGGATAAGATTTCAACATAAAACACACTAGACATGACAGAACTGATACCGGTACATGAATAGTTTCAGTGATTATACTTAACTTGTACCACATTATGTGCACGTTATCACTTAGAATCTCTGGACAAGTATATACACATGTGTAGGTCCAACGCAAGATTCTCTGGCTTGCGTTCTGAGTGCCATTAGTTTTACGCCGCTTTTAGCAATATTCCAGCAATATCACGGCGTGGGACACGAGAAATGGGCTTCGCAAATTGTACCCATGTGGGGAATAGAACCCGGGCCTTCGGTGTGACGAGCGAACGCTTTAACCACTAGGCTACCCCACAGCCCCTTGCGCTCAGATGGTCATCGAAATGTTGTACAACAACTCTTTGAAGTCAATGATGTACCGTTGTCCATTCAAATTATGCCTGATCGACACAGGCACAATCTTTACAGTCATCAAAGAACCCCGCAAAACGGTACTTGCTCCAAGATATTGGACTGTGCATATGCAGTGTTTCACACGAGCTCGGTCATCATTCATGAACGAAACAAATCGACTTTCGTCCGACCATTGGATCCTTCCCCCATGACCTCTAATTGTTGGACAAACGACGGTGTGGAAACCACTCTGTTTTTTACACGCCACTTGACAGGAACGAATGAAGCATTGTGACTCTTAGAAGGGCCGTATCCTTCCTAGGAGTTGTCATCGTGGACGGCCTGAACACTGACTGTCCTTAACATCATTAGTTTGCTGTGTATTCTGGCCAATCGGCTGATAGTCCATGAAGGACGACCAACATCTCTTGCCTTAATACTATGTCAGCGTTATGTATACCAACAATTTGCCATCTTTGATCAGTTGTCAGTTGAGGAGGCCCCGTATTTGATTATCAGCAACGAAATCAATTGTTTTCGAAGTATAAACTCATCAGGTCATCGAGCTGTTCACTGAAACTTGATATTTGCTTGATGACGGTTACACGTATTGTACGTGATACGCACCTTTGATTCTAGCACGTGCATATCTGAAATCAATGTATGGTACGACCGAAAGTCAAAATAATCGTGCAGACAAGCATGATTGTGATATGAATATAGATGGTTATATATGGTTATAAAATTGTATACTTAGTAAGTATCTACGAATATAATGTGGTTGGTCATATTGTTGGTATTTACTCAGTGTGCGAACGATGATCACAGTCGGAGGCCTGGCCATCTTCAATTTCCAGACCGTTATGTCTCCACAATTGTAAAATTGGCAAAAAATATGAAATCACTTTCTGCAGTAAAGTCGTATTTCTTGAATCATTTTGAAATTATTAATATGCCTGTATGTGACTGACATAAAACACAATATAAAGTAAACAGCGTCACATGTCGTCGGAACCCTGGCTGTGACATGTGTTTACTTCCCCTGCGACCCATTGCGTCTCGTGGTTGTTGGAATGATTTTACGTACGCTTTACTCGTATCCCAAACTTTTCATAAAGAGAATTTCGCTTAGCCCTGGCTCCTATTTGCCACGATCTATATACACACATAAAGAGCATTTGTTGAGAAACCGAATTTAGGCTGATCAATATAATTTGATATACATATATGTAAAGATTTGAAGACATGCAATTAAGTTATGGGTTTCGACTTGTTTTGTCTTTCGTGAAAATACCGAATCTTAGCCATTGTGAATGGAGAAACTGAAACATCTACGATGTTATGTTACATGCATGTCTAAGTACCAACTCCAGCACAGTGAAACTGCGAATGGCTATTTAGATCAGTTACGGTTCCTTAGAGGATACAATCCTATTTAGATAACTGTGGCAATTCTAGAACTAATACATGCATCAACGGTTTGTACTTGTGCTGCAGAAAATGGTTGGTGAGTTTAATGATTAAAATGATTACATTTTATTCAAGATTAACATTCAGCAGTTGCAGTACACGGTCAGTTTGAACCCATCCATGTTAATTACGGTTCTTCTGCGCTTTAATATTCGCCTGTGGCTCCACCCATCAACATCCTCAGGCAAAGTGGTTTCGGAAGCAGACAATGCGCTGGTCGTCTTCGTGGCCTGTGATCTATTTAGCAATTTGTTCAATATGTCATTTACAACTGATGACATGAAGCCGCAGGAGCTGTAGAACAGCGTGTTGTGATCCCTGTGTATGCATCGTCAGTTGGGTGCGTTTCGAAAATTAAATAAAGGACAGTTTCGTATCATTTACAGTCTAAAGCATCATCCTGAAACAGGTGTCCAGGCGTGATTACTACTTGTAAGGTCACACTCATGTGAAATGTGGTTTTCATCCCGTGTCTGTTCGTGTTGATGACCGAGACCTATTGCCGTTTACATGGAAGACTTAATATTACAAATGGTGCGTTTTACCATTGGGACTATCTTGCAGCCATTGTATTACGTGGAAGACTTCCTATTATAATTGGTGCGTTTTACTATTGGGACTATCTTGCAGCCATTCTACTTTAACAAGAAGCAACTTGATTTCGAAATTTGGCGGCATGGTTGTTGTAACTTTGGAAGATTTCTTGCTTATGGCTCCTAATAGACTGTTTCATCACTTTTGCTGAGACAATATTAACTTCGAAAAGTGAACTTGAGGGTAGTCTCAGTCAACTGTAGTTCAAGAGTTTGGAGGGAGTCATCCAATATAAGGACAGTTGTTGGCAATATGTATGTAACAGAAGTCATTGATCAAGAATATTGCAAACAAGTCATTAATGTTTTGACGGACAATTCCGTTGTTTTGGCATATAAAGACACAAAGGCACAAAGGAGACATGATAGCAACTGACCAGCAAAGGCAATCTGGGCAGAAGCAATAGCCAATCAAACTTCGAATCGTCACATCCGATCCACAACACACGTTACTGGTCGGAGAATGTTGACGATAATGCAAATGTGAAGAGCGCTGTAAATAGTTTAGAATTACACAATCAGCTGGGCGAATATGGTCTTTCAACTGTTACCGAACTGGAATATGGTCTTTTCAACTGTTACCAAACTGGGGCTCCTTTCAAGAAGCAACCTTTACTAAGGTTAACCTTAACTCCCTTTCTTTAACACTGCACTAAGGTTACCTTAGTGACTTACGATCACCTTAGTGCTTTGTGAAAGGAGGCCCTGATCCTTAACCTAAAGCCCAAAGCGCACTGGACCACAGCATACGTTTTCCTGGTATTTTCATTTTTCAAACGCGAATTTCATTCAATAATAATGTGCGTAGCGTACTCCTTTTTCCCAGAATGCTTAACCGCTCTTACATCGGAGTCCATCAAATAAACTAGCAGCAGGTCATTGATAGGAATCCGAAATTGTCATGTTTCAAAGGAACGTGGGGGAAAGGATCCGAATATTTTCTATTAATCCGTCCAATCCTTTTCAGTGTGGCGAGGGTGCGCGCGGCTGACAGTTTTGACATGCTTCACAAATACGTATTAACTATCTGAAACACGGCCACGGCACACGCTTGCGAATCCGAAGTAACATTATCGAGTGCTCGGCGTGGACGGCGCTCGAAGGTGAAGACGCGGTTATGCTAGCAGATCCGAAGGGATCCGTGAAAATACATATTTCAAAACCAGGCGCAGCACTTACTGTCAGAATGGGCCACGTCAAAAACTTGGATCGGATCACCAAGTCAAATATGGAGTGTTTTCCCCACAACTGCTGTTATGTATGCAGATCGAAGATTGCTTGTTTACATACATACATACATACATACATACATACATACATACATACATACATACATACATACATACATACATACATACATACATACATACATACATACGTACATACATACAAAGCACTGTGAGCGAAGACGCTCGTCTTTGTCTCGTATGTCCCAAGAAAACGACAATCACTCGTCACAACTAAAAAAATATGTGACATAATAAAAATAATATCTTGAATTGTGTACATGCACAAATATTAATTATATTATGTAACAACAATCAACTTAGCGCGTTTACTATTTGTGCGTCTGGGAGGTGAGGAAGGAGATGGGTGTGTGTGTGTGGTGGTGGGGTGGGTGGTGGGGGGTGTAATTGCAGTGGTAATTGGGTACGGGTTGAATGTGCGCGTGGTTGGGGATATGCCAATTTTTAGTTCATTTGCTATAGGTTGACTGTGGAGAGAGAAAAACCATCATCTGACTACTACTACTTACTACTTACTTATTTAAGTGTATTTACAATTTCAATGTCGGAACGGGGGATTATTTTTAGTTTCGATCCTTGTAGATAAAATGTTATCTACCACCTGCAGACAAATTCCCCCAAACCACTATGCAACAGTTAAAGAGATCCGAATTCACAACTGACCCATACAGCGCAGCGCTGCGCCCTCCACAACACGGCGCGTGCAAGAGATAGCCGCTAATTCACATACGGACGGATTGAGTTGGTCCTACGGGGACGTGCCTCTTTAGGATCCGAAGCTACGATGAATATACACATCTCACTGTCGGATCCGAAATTAGCCGCGAGCCGCTTTACGCGACAAGAATTTGCATCAAGCGAGCATAAAATCCGAATAATGGTCCCTCTAAGCATGATTGCCTCTTCCCAGCTGCTTAGCGCGTGCAAGAAGGTACTATGTCCCGATCTTACACATTTTCACAACTACTTTCATCAAATCCGTAAAATATGTACCTCAAATGCAGACGAAGCTCCGCAGAAAAGTAGTACACGGAAAATAATAAGGAAATAGCTTCGCGGGTCCTCACAATGTGAGCGCAGTACGCCGGCGCCGTCACAGATCCGAATAAGAGCAGAGTGAAGTTTCAAGCTTTGTGGATCCGAAATTACGATGGCGTGGTGCGCGCAGGTTCGCCCAACACTCGCAAGGCGATCGGGATCTCCGTAGCGGGATTCGGGCCGGGATTGGGGACGGGATTTTGTTATACGAGCGGGATGATGAGGCTGCTGAGCAAGACGCGAGCTGCTGAATGGGGCGCGGAGCTGACTCTAAGTCACACAACCGCCACGTCCTTCCACGAGGAGAGGTTTTGGCTTGTGAGATATGGGGAAAAAGACATTTTGCGATAAAGATGCTTACTTGATGTACTTGATGTACTCACACGGCAGTCCCAAAGTGAATTTAAATATCATGTCATTTGTAAAACTTTACCCATTGTTTCAACTTGACGCTTCACTTTAAAGCTTGTTAATTTGAACTATTAACGGCATGTTGCTATATATAGCGGGGAGGGAAAAATGGCTACGCTACCCCACCGCCCCCCGTGAAATCAGACGCATTGTCAATCCAAACTTGATACCGTCTGATTTTGTGATTGACCAATCAAATTGGAGCATTTCACGTAGCCATGGTAGAATGATTCATTAACCTGTGCTGTGCCGTCTCCATCCTTTCTGGCACACCGGGCTGTTCCTCTCTTTGCACCCCTCCCTCGTACCAAATAGTGAACCGAGTCAAAATTTTGATGATAGTTTGTTAAACAACTTTCTTATTTTTAGGACATAAATTCTGCAAAAAAATCACAGAGTTGGTCTGATGTTTTGATTATGATCAGTGTTTCATTGAGTATTATATGTCTATTAGTTTTCGAGTTAGATCGCAATTCATCGGTCCGCTTTTGAGCCAAACTAGAGTTTGACTATGGACATAATTTGCAACAAATGTCTGTAAGTAGAAAAGAAACCGACGTGGGAAAGTTTTAAGGAATGTTACGAATATCAATTTGTCTACATACAAATAACACAGCAGGGTAAAACAATAACACATTCCACTCGATCGCGACTCCCAAGTTGCAGACGCCACGGCATTGTAAACAGTAAAATATATTCAATAATCGGTCCCTTATTCACAGTGATAAATTGTTTCTCCCCTATCACGTGATACGTCTTTGGTCAAAATGGTGGTTCCAAGTTCAAAAGTCGCTAGTGTGTTTCGAGCTGGTCTCTTTAAAGACAAAGTTGCTGTGGTAACAGGAGGAGGAACTGGAATAGGAAAGGCCATAACTCTTGAACTCCTGTATCTAGGTTTGTAGAGGGAAAGCGAGTCAGTGCATGGCAGTGGTAAAGAAACAGGTCGGAGAATTCTGCTGGCTTAGCCGAGTGCCGCGATGGGGTCCAACAGTCATTGAGTCAAGACATGCCACAAATGCACGGTCACGTCTTGACAGTAGAACCTCGCCACGGCTCGCGGATAATGTCTATCCAAAACCTAACAAAACACTGATTCTTTCGTTTGTTTGAAAAGATGACGTGTGATTAAATAAACGGGGTTGTAACTGTGTTGCCTGAACGAACAATACGCGCTTTCAACCCAGTGCCAGGTTTTCCAGATGCAAGTCAGTGTACGGAGTTACGTCCCTTAGACTTGGCAGCAGACATGCAGTCGTTGTGTAATCATCATTGTGATTTGTTAATACGTTTTACTGTGTTTAAGTAGCATAGATCAGTTGTCAAAATGCAATCACAGGATTGGCCGGTCCAAACTTGATTATGTCAAGTCAACTATCACAACTGGAATTATTGCTGACATAGAAAAAGAAGGCAAACATGTAGGCTCTAATTTCTAAATTTAGATCAACTCTTGACTCTCTTCTGTAACAATTTTCTCTTTGTAATGCTGTGTACAGTGAATTTTAATTTGTATGAAAAATAATTTTGATAATTCTGTAACTAAGGCCTCTTTCTGATGATTGCATTTTCTTTGTCTTTTTTCTTTGAAAAATGTCTCTTGTCATTTTTCTTTTAAAATTTCATATATATTGGCAGTTCTTTCAAAACCATATCCCAGCAACTATACATGATACAAGAGAGATGCTCTTTATGGAACATTTGATTAACTTCAATATCTTCTGCATGTGAAATGATTCAATCATGTTTTGCATTGTTATGAAGGATGCAAGGTGATGATCGCTTCTCGTAAGACTGAGCGATTGGAGAAGTCAGCTGTGGAAATGTGCAAGCAGATAGATAAACAGGGACGTGGACCTGCACAGCTAAAACACATACAGTGCAACATTCGAAAAGAGGATCAGGTCAGGCTCATGATTATGTCAACATGGTTTCAGTTTAGATTCATAATATCTAAGCTATGTTGTATTTGTATGGTATCTGCAAACACCAGAAAGTGCAGAAAATGTAAACAATTAATAATTGTTTTGAAAGCTGAAAGTTACTTTCAGTTTGTTTGAGTTTTGTGGTTTATCTCTGTGTTTCACTTATGAGGGTCAGACAAATTATTATATATCAATTAAGTTATTCCATAAAAGTATGTAACTCATAATTTAATCAAAAAATGTTAAAAGAATTTAATATGAAAGAAAATAAACGTTTTTATTGTATGTTATCCCATATCAACCCTCACATTTCTTTTGTCCTGTGTCTTGACAAGAAAATATCGAAAAGAGTGAAAAAACCAAGATCTTAAAGGAACTATTTCTTCTTTGTAGAAGATGGAAATACTGTTTGTATGTTTTATCTTACTGTCTCATTTTATGTAACGGAAGAAATAAAACACATGTGGTCTAAAGCAAATTGTCTAATCAGTTTGAGCATGGTTTCAGGTGAAAAATCTGATGTCTGAAACACTTTCCGCCTTTGGTAGGATAGACTTTCTTGTTAACAATGGAGGAGGACAGTTCCCAAGTCCGGCCTCCAACATCTCCCTGAAGGGCTGGAATGCTGTGGTGGAGACCAACCTCACAGGGACGTTCCTCTGCTGCAGGGAAGGTACATATCACAGATTTATCTTGACATAATCTAAAGGCTGATGTTGACACCAGGTCTGCAGTAATTATCAGAATAAATCCGATTGTTAATATCATTTTCACTGAAGTGATGGCAAGGCAAATATGACCCTTTTTTATGCTGATAAGGAAGAAAAGGCATTAATTGTTACTTAAACATTAAAATAATTACCTTGTTTTGAAGGGTATGGCTCGGTTTTAATTTTATTAGTACAGTGAAACCGGTTCCTGTTGCCTGATGTGCACACTTCGAAACCATCATTTAGTAATCATTCAGTAGCAATCTAGGCCACATATATTGTTAATGTATTTCCATCTCCCTAACAACTGCCTGCAAAAAGTTTCTCAATTTGTCATCCCTCAAATTTTCTAAAATTAATACTCATATGTAGCTTCTGTAGACTAACATTTAATCCCTGAAATCAAATCGTTCTGTCTAAAGTATGTAGCTACAAATGAAATACATATAATCCCAATGAAACCCAGAACTAGCGATTGCAATACCTGCCTGCCCGACCGCCCGGGACAGGGTTTTTTCAACACGGACTGCCAGATTCTCAAATTCACCTGCCCACCAGTAAGGTGAAAATTTAGACATGTGTATGAAGATATTTTGTGGGCAGGTAAGTTTAGTCAGGGCTTGCAAGTTTTACATCTAACCGGCCCTGTGGTCTGGCTGAACTTTTTAGAAGTTTCATACCCTGCCAGAACAATTCATAATTTCAGCCTTGAGTCCTTTAATTTGTTTCCATCGGCATGGGAGACGGATAACTTATGTACCTGCGCGTTCACATTTATTCTGTGTTTGACATGCCTTTAATCAGAAAACATGCTGTGTATTGTAAAACAAAAAGTTCTTGAAAATGAGTTTACAGTTACTGTGCAGTATATAGACAGTTTTCTGTCGATGGTTGCAGTCTACAATCAGTGGATGCAGGAGCATGGAGGTGTCATCGTCAACATCATCGCCGACATGTGGAAGGGCTTCCCATCAATGTGGTGAGCAAGCTACACTGAATACATGGCTGACTGACAACACTAGAGCTTGTACACTTTAATCATTTGCCACATAATTACTATTATGTCTAGACGATATTTTATACCTTTGTGCTGTTTTTTAAACCCTTATGACAGTATCATACTGTTGTTGTTGGCGTTGATTCAGAAACTCGTTTTGATTGGTGCAGAGGTGTATGACCCCACCACTACATCTAGCTAAACAACGTGGAATAACTGAAATACTGTTTAGAGCAGCATTAACCCCGCCTCACTCACTCGAAATAATATATGAATTTGCTCATAGGTCTGGATGAATCATTGAATGGTCTGAAACTGAAATGTGAAATTTTTGCTCCGACATTACATCCTCATACAACTATTACTTACGCTGATTTGTTTAAATCATTCATGTAATTTTGTACCTGAATATTGGATAAATGTTTTCTTGTGACAAAATGTATTGCAGCAGCTCAACACTAACATACCTGTAAACTGAACTTATAACAAGATATCAAATTATATCAAGTGTTCTTTTCATTGTTTTATACCTTGACTCATGGGAATTTCTTTTTTCATTTTGGAATTTTTTGTGTGTATACAGTCACACAGGTGCTGCCCGATCAGCTGTAGACAATCTCACCAAGTCGCTGGCCATTGAGTGGGCATCTGATGGTGTGCGAGTGAACTCTGTAGCCCCTGTGAGTTATACTGACATAAACTGTTGTATTGTACAGTTAAAACTCAGTGACATTGGGGTACTCATACTCTATCTCAAAGTCAGAATCAGATTGTACTTTGTAACTGGTTCAGGACTGAATGTATCATGTAACAGGTTTGGGACAGAATGTATCATGTAACTGGTTTGGGACAAATGTATACTGTAACAGGTTTGGGCCAGCATGTATCATGTAACAGGTTTGGGACAGAATGTATCATGTAACTGGTTTGGGACAGAATGTATCATGTAACAGGTTTGGGACTGAATGTATCATGTAACAGGTTTGGGACAGAATGTATCATGTAACTGGTTTGGGACAGAATGTATGTGTAACTGGTTTGGGACAGAATGTATCATGTAACTGGTTTGGGACAGTATGTATCATGTGACAGGTTTGGGACTGAATGTATCATGTAACTGGTTTGGGACAGAATGTATCATGTAACTGGTTTGGGACAGTATGTATCATGTAACTGGTTTGGGACAGTATGTATCATGTAACAGGTTTGGGACAGAATGTATCATGTAACAGGTTTGGGACAGAATGTATCATGTAACTGGTTTGGGACAGAATGTATCATGTAACAGGTTTGGGACAGAATGTATCATGTAACTGGTTTGGGACAGAATGTATCGTGTAACTGGTTTGGGACAGTATGTATCATGTAACAGGTTTGGGACAGTATGTATCATGTAACTGGTTTGGGACAGAATGTATCATGTAACAGGTTTGGGACAGAATGTATCATGTAACAGGTTTGGGACAGAATGTATCATGTAACTGGTTTGGGACAGAATGTATCATGTAACTGGTTTGGGACAGAATGTATCAACTGTAACTGGTTTGGGACAGAATGTATCATGTAACAGGTTTGGGACAGAATGTATCATGTAACATGGTTTGGGACTGAGAATGTATCATGTAACTTTTGGGACAGAATGTATCATGTAACTGGTTTGGGACAGAATGTATCATGTAACTGGTTTGGGACAGAATGTATCATGTAACTGGTTTGGGACAGAATGTATCATGTAACAGGTTTGGGACAGAATGTATCATGTAACTGGTTTGGGACAGAATGTATCATGTAACAGGTTTGGGACAGAATGTATCATGTAACTGGTTTGGGACAGTTTGTACAGATGTATCATAACTGGTTTGGGACAGAATGTATCATGTAATCATGGGTTTGGGACAGAATGTATCATGTAACAGGTTTGGGACAGAATGTATCATGTAACTGGTTTGGGACAGAATGTATCATGTAACAGGTTTGGGACAGAATGTATCATGTAACTGGTTTGGGACAGAATGTATCATGTAACTGGTTTGGGACAGAATGTATCATGTAACTGGTTTGGGACAGAATGTATCATGTAACTGGTTTGGGACATGTATGTATCATGTAACAGGTTTGGGACAGAATGTATCATGTAACTGGTTTGGGACAGAATGTATCATGTAACTGGTTTGGACTGACAGAATGTATCATGTAACTGGTTTGGGACAGAATGTATCATGTAACAGGTTTGGGACAGTATGTATCATGTAACTGGTTTGGGACAGAATGTATCATGTAACTGGTTTGGGACAGAATGTATCATGTAACAGGTTTGGGACAGTATGTATCATGTAACAGGTTTGGGACAGAATGTATCATGTAACTGGTTTGGGACAGAATGTATCATGTAACTGGTTTGGGACAGAATGTATCATGTAACTGGTTTGGGACAGTATGTATCATGTAACAGGTTTGGGACAGAATGTATCATGTAACTGGTTTGGGACAGAATGTATCATGTAACTGGTTTGGGACAGTATGTATCATGTAACTGGTTTGGGACAGTATGTATCATGTAACTGGTTTGGGACAGTATGTATCATGTAACTGGTTTGGGACAGTATGTATCATGTAACTGGTTTGGGACTGAATGTATCATGTAACTGGTTTGGGACTGAATGTATCATGTAACTGGTTTGGGACAGTATGTATCATGTAACTGGTTTGGGACAGAATGTATCATGTAACTGGTTTGGGACAGAATGTATCATGTAACTGGTTTGGGACAGTATGTATCATGTAACTGGTTTGGGACAGAATGTATCATGTAACTGGTTTGGGACAGAATGTATCATGTAACTGGTTTGGGACAGTATGTATCATGTAACTGGTTTGGGACAGTATGTATCATGTAACAGGTTTGGGACAGTATGTATCATGTAACTGGTTTGGGACAGAATGTATCATGTAACTGGTTTGGGACAGAATGTATCATGTAACACAGTATGTATCATGTAACTGGTTTGGGACAGTATGTATCATGTAACAGGTTTGGGACAGAATGTATCATGTAACTGGTTTGGGACTGAATGTATCATGTAACTGGTTTGGGACATGTATCACTGGTTTGGGACAGAATGTATCATGTAACTGGTTTGGGACTGAATGTATCATGTAACTGGTTTGGGACAGAATGTATCATGTAACTGGTTTGGGACAGTATGTATCATGTAACTGGTTTGGGACAGAATGTATCATGTAACTGGTTTGAGACAGTATGTATCATGTAACTGTTTTGAGACAGTTTGTATCATGTAACTGGTTTGGGACAGTATGTATCATGTAACTGTTTTGAGACAGTATGTATCATGTAACTGGTTTGGAACAGAATATGTCATCAGTATTGTCTTGTACTTGCAGGGAAGTTCCATCTTCTCAGAGACTGCTGCTGCCAACTACGGAGATAAAAATCTTTTTGCCCGCAACATTCCTTTTGTGCCTGCAAAACGTCTCGGAACTACAGAGGAGGTAAACCCCCACAGCCCGTTTAGACATACATCAAATATGTATGGTTAGAACGCTATGATACACACTACTTTCAAATTGATTAAGGTATAACAGGTTCAGCTTGTTGGTGATGTAAACTGGATGCATGCATATTGTTGAACTATATTTATAATGGTATTGATATTGATACATTACACGTCTCTATGATGCCATATCCAGATATATCTACTCATATACAGCACACAGGGAGGTGAGCATATTGCCTACAAGCTTGAACACCAGAATAAGACCTAGAAGCTCTAGGAGTTGTGAGCCTCAGTATAGGACCTATAGACTTTAAGCTGAGTTGTCAGCACTGATATTGAACCTACTGGCGATAGGAGTTGTAAGCACCAATACAGAACCTATATGCTAGGACTGTAAGATAGGGAGGGGAAAGGACCTACACGTCATGTTTACCTACGTCCACAGATATCTGGGGCTGTGTGTTTCCTGTTTTCTCCGGCTGCATCCTTCATCTCAGGAGAGAGCCTTAAAGTGGACGCAGGATCAAGCATCTACCCATCTATGACCTGGGAAATACCAGGTGAGTCCCCTTCTGTGACCAGGGTAATACCAGGTGAGTCCCATTCTGTGACCTGGGTAATAATAGGTGAGTCCCCTCTGTGACCTGGGTAATTTAGAGGTGAGTCCCCTTCTGTGACTTGGGTAATACCAGGTGAGTCCCCATCTGTGACCTGGGTAATACCAGGTGAGTCCGATTCTGTGACCAGGGTAATACCAGGTGAGTCCGATTCTGTGACCTGGGTAATACCAGGTGAGTCCCCTTCTGTGACCAGGGTAATACCAGGTGAGTCCGATTCTGTGACCTGGGTAATAACAGGTGAGTCCCCTCTGTGACCTGGGTAATTTAGAGGTGAGTCCCCTTCTGTGACTTAGGTAATACCAGGTGAGTCCCCTTCTGTGACTTAGGTAATACCAGGTGAGTCCCCTTCTGTGACCTGGGTAATACCAGGTGAGTCTCCTCTGTGACCTGGGTAATACAATGATGAGCTCTCAGTGACCTTAGAAGTTCCAAGTGTGTCCCCTCTATGAATGGAGTAATACCAGGTGAGTCCCCTCCTTTGACCTGGGTAATACAAGGTGAATCTCCTTCTGTGATTTGGAAAATACCATGTGAGTCCCCTCTATGACTGCCAAAATACTAGTTGAGTTTCCCTTTATGACCTGCAGAATAGTGAAGTGAATCTTAAGCTATTTTTCACCTAGAGAATGCCAGGTGAGTCCCCTGTATGACCTGGAGAAAAGCTGATGAATGTCTACCTGTCTCTGACGTACAAAATAACTGATAAGCAAAATGACAGGTGATTCAGGTCTATGGCAGGGAGTATTACCTTAGGTCTATTGCATGGAGAATTACCTTTTCTACATCTTGATTTCTTCAAGAGGTTCCAGCCCATTTTTCAAAATGGTCACCTCTACAATGATATTCAAATAATCATCTGTGTCCATTAATTTGTAGTCATGTGGCATATGCGTAGATCTACTACTTGGGACTGAACATGTTCATTGGTTGTGACTTGACTGTGTTAACACTGTCACTGGCTAAAGGTGAACACTGATTTTGATGGACACAGAGTTAAATCTCCATATTACATCATCATTGACACAAAGCATTTTAATGGCTCCAGGGAATATTTCATATTTTAACCATTTTATGACTCTATTTGTATTTTTATCTAACAAAATAAATTATGGATGCTTGCAACATTGCTTGATAGCATATGACTTGTTGAGAAATCCTGCTTACAATTTCGTGGTTTCAGAGCACAAGAAACTGCCTGCATATCGCTGGGATGAAGATGATGATAGTAACGGATCTCAGAACACCCCGAAGTCCAAGTTATAACATATGATCAATAATCTGAAAATAAATATTCAGTATTTGACAACCTGATCTATCTACCAGTATCTCCCAAAAATCAAACAGGAGGTTGTTTGTTACTGTGTCCATGTTTAAACTGATTTAGGCAAAGACATCCTTCAGAATACATGTATATTATAATAACCGGATAGCTCCATGTTGAGGCAAGGGCGGTGCATTGGCAAGGCCTTTCAATACATAGCGATACACGTGTCTATATTGTGATAGGTATTATCATATTTTGGGAGCTGAAGTGTGTGACAGTGATTGACACTGATTTTCTCTGGAACCTAACGTAGATATTATCAGCACTGCCAATTCAAAGTTATCGATTCAGGGGAGATAACAATATGAGAGAAATATGTCATTCAGTTGTGAATCAATTTCAGTGTAAATTTCTGGTTAAATGCTAAAATAATAATGAAACTAGGTATTTGTTTTTATTTGGTATACTTGACCCTGACAATATATTGCAGTATGTATCATTTGGACAGTATTTTGCTGTAGTCCACTGTTCTTAAACACTATGCAGCTCTTCTATTAATGTTTTTAATTAGATTTTTAGGGATTTTTTTAATAGATTTACATGATCAATATGCAAGGGAAGGAAAATACAAAGAAATAATTAAAAGTTTTGACATAATTTAGGTTAATTTCTTTGACTCAAATCTAAGAATATTTGCAATCAAACAAAGCAAGTCTGTGATTTTTGTTTTGCAACAAGTAAATAGAGATTTATGTTTAGAAGTAAATTAGTCTTACTTAAAACATTGTAAAAATAAAATGAAAATGGCTCTTCAGATTTCCAACTGTGCCAAAATCTTAGTCATGTGTTTATAATTTTCATAATATAAGAATAGTAAAGGAAAAGCTTGTTACATGCTTTGGACTGTCACAAACTTGGACTTGGAGAAACTTTCTCCTGTGTCTCATGTGTGCTGGTGATGATGGGTGGTCTGGCTTTCTGAGGCACTGCCAAAACTCTAGTCAGAGTGGTATCCCTTGAGGGCCACTGGGGTTGTCTAGTAGTTAAAGTATTTGCTCATCACGCCCAGATTCAATTCCCCACATTGGTACAATGTGTGAAGCCCATTTCTGGTGTTCCATATTGCTGGAATGTTGATAAAAACAGAGGAAAACGAAACTCGTATCCATTGGGCATATCTGAAACCAATTATCTTGAGTTCTATTCCAAGCGCGCCCTGACCTGATGTATTAACCAGGGATAGGACAAATTTGTCCTGAGTATTGTTGATATGATAATAATGTAGGTTGGTATAATAGACTGGAGGATGGAATGCCAGTGAGATGTGTGTGTGTGCATGTGTTTGGTGTGTGAGGGAGAGAGGGTGGGGTGGGGTGGGGGGACGTTTGGGGAGTGTGCATGTAAGAGTTAGTGATTAAGTCAGTTTAAAATGTTAAATGTGAAATTATGTCACATTGAATGGTGGCACAATATGACACCGTCCTGACACCAATCTTACTGGATCAGAGCCCCTCCCCACTATCCCCAGGCTTTGATTAATGTACAGATCAGGTATATTTCTATTATATACTTGAGGTGAGTAATATCCAACTGCTGAATGAACACAGTTTGTTCCTTGATTTGTATTGAATTGTACAGACATTGTAATTCAAGTTAAAATAAATACACAAGGATTATTTGCTGAAATTGAGTGTCTTTAATTGAGTGTTGGTGTGTGCCGAATAAGTCACGAGCCGTGAAGATCCGGGTTAGAATTGATCTTCAACAACCTATGCTTATGGTAAGAGTCCACTAACGGGTGATCAGGCTCGCTGATATGGTTGACACATGTCATCGTATCCAAATTACGTAGATCGATGTTCATGCTGTTGATCACTGGATTGTCTGGTCCAAACTCGATTATTGACAGACCGCCGCCATATAGCTGGAATATTGCTGAATGCAGCGTTAAACAACAAACCAACCAACTAACGAGTGACGGAGACAAGATGGCTTGCTGCCCCCACCGTGATATATATGGAGGCCCTCTTTTCTCACCCACCTGTCAGGCCGAAGTGTTCAGATTGAGATCTACAGATAACATATTTATCATAATAAGCGCAACAGATTTTGATAATTGTTGTGCGGGTGTGTTCCGCATTGTGCAGGATGACGACTTTTTGTAGTACCCGGAAGCAGATTAGACTTGTAAGTTATAAACACCTGTGGAATAGTTTAGCTATTAGGATCTATATAGGTTGTATTATAGGTGCAAGCAGGCTACTTCACTTTATAATTGACAAAGATAATTGCCAATCTAGTACACTTGTTATACCATACAGCTAAATTTGTTGTGATATTGAAACAATATATATAGTATGACCAGAAATTATTGAGAAGTTTAGGAATATGTTTAGTTGGATTTCTAGTATAAAAACGTTGACCAGCTATCAAGTTTCATTCAAGAGAGACAACTCCGTTAATCCTTTTTCATTAGTTTGTGAAGAGCTATCCCCCTTTGTTTACCTGCTTGCAGAAGACATTTTCAGTGATCCTCAGTATGGATGATTTAGAGAAGAGGAAGTTGATTTTAGAGTATTATAACAAGGACATCAGATCAGCTAAAGTGATTTCAAGTAGAACAGGCATCCCTTTGTCCACTGTTTATCGTGTTTTGAAAAATATTGCAAATGGATATGGCATTGAGCAACAGGGAGGTGCAGTTAGGCCCAGAAAATTGACTGTCGGTGACAGGAGGCGGCTTGGTATTTTATTGTTTCTAAAAACGAACGAAGGAGTTTAGTAAACTTAAGGCTGGATATGATTGATAGGGGAACTGTGGCTGTTTGTAGGGAGACAATTAGAACTGAGCTGCATGCAATGGGTTGGCAGAAAGTCGAGGAATTCCATCACCGATCATGAAACCTGAACAAAAGGAGCGAAGGTTGAACTGGTGCTTACAGCATAGAAATTTTAACTGGGACAATGTGATTTTCTCAGATGAAAGTTCTGTGTGGCTGTTTCCTAATACACTGAAATTCTGGACCAAACAAACTGAAAAACCTTTGTATCAGCGCCCAAAGTACAGTCCGAAATTCAACGTGTGTGGTGGCATATCTGGGTTAGGGGCAACGCCCCTCTGTGTATTTGAAGGGAATATGAACAGTGAACGGTACACAGATATTCTCGAGGGATATTTACTTCCATCTGCTCACGTGTTCTATGGAAATTTTTTGATTTTCCAGCAGGACAACGATCCAAAACATTGTTCAAAGCATTCACAGGCCTGGTTTCGGACCCAAAATATGACATTATTAGATTGGCCAGCTATAGCCCTGACCTAAATCCAATAGAAAATGTTTGGGGACTTATGACGGAAAGTGTCAATAAGAAAAATCGGACAAATATTGCTGAAATGAAAGAAGAGGTGGTCCGATATTGGGACAGCATGGACCACGACTTTCTAACTTCATTGATCAGTAGTATGCCCCTCGGCATTGAAGCCTGCATTGCTGCCCATAGTGACTTGACAAAATACTAACTGTTCACCTGTCTTTGAATCTGGAGTTATTTTCTGCTAATATTCACATTTAATACGTGAGTAATGAGTGAAAACAAAAATAAAATTACAATCTTAAATTCTCAATAATTTCTGGTTGTACTGTACGTGTGAGTGTTTGTGAGCATAAACTAATAAACCTTTGCCGCTCAGCAACATTCCAGCTACATGATGACTGCCTGAAAAACCTGATAGGATAAGAATGGACCAGACAATCCCGAGATGTTTAAACCAAGCTGACCACGTCGAGGCGCATTGACACAACCAAGTGACCCAGCCAGACTTCAGTAGGTATTAGATGTTGGGGATCACTGGGTACACAACACACACATTCACCTGAAGCAGCTTATACATGTAGATATAGCATATCAGGGAGAATGCCAGGTGTAAGCTGCGAATCAAGACTGGACACAAAATGACAAATTCTCAACAATGTCACAACCTTTATTAAAACATTAAACAGCCTCCGTGGTCGGGTGGATAGAGCGTCTGTCGGCGCCGGTCGCTAGTTCTATACCCAGTCGTCATGCCAAAAGATATTTAGATAGCTCTGCAAACGTAGCCCAAGTACACATGACCCATGATGATCCAGTTAGAATAATTTTTTGTCTGCAGTAACTCATGCTTGTCCTAAGAGGCGACTGACGGGATCGGGTGGTGTGGCCCGCTGACTAGGTTGACACATGCCATTGTACCCCAATTGCGTAGATGCTCATGATGTTGATCACTGGATTGTCTGGTCCAGACTCGATTATTTACAGACCGCCGTTATATAGCTGGAATATTGCTGGATGCAGCGTTAAACAACACACACACACACACACACACACACACACACACACACACGTCCTAACCACATGTCAAAGGATTACCTGTGGAGAATTTAAAACAAACAAAAATAAAAAATCTTGTACCACTTCGCCTAATGTTGACAGCTGTGTGGCACGTGCTGTCGGATCTGTTGACAGATGTGTGGGGCCCCTGCTCCCAGCTGCAGCTACTATACGATTGTCACATTCGCTACATCGGGAACCACCAGTAAATACAGAAATACAAATGTCTCAATAAAATGTGGTCGACGTCAGCTATGTATTTCCGTGTTCAAATGTATTTTGGAGTAATTATCTTTCGTCCTCTTTCGGGTAAGTCACGAAAAAAACAAACCCGCACAATATATTTCCTGGTTGAGGTAATGTCAAGAAAATAGAAGACACTGTAACAGAATGACTATGCATCTTCGGAGTTGCCTTTTACAGATATTAAAAATCTATAATTGGTCTATATCTTGATCGTATCGATCCCGGACAAACCTGTAACAGCATTAGTTTTTTCGCTGTTTATACTTAAAACAACCTTAAATGGAGCAAACAGGAGCCACCAGATGACAGGCCAAGGAAAAGAAGACCGAGTGTCACAACACAAGAAGAAAGGCGAATGTCACAACACAAGAAGAAGATCGAGAGTCATAACACAAGAAGAAAGGCGAATGTCATAACACAAGAAGAAAGGCGAATGTCACAACACAAGAAGAAGATCGAGAGTCATAACACAAGAAGGGTGCCGAATGTCACAACACAAGAAGAAAGCCGAATGTCACAACACAAGAAGAAGATCGAGAGTCATAACACAAGAAGAAAGGCGAATGTCATAACACAAGAAGAAAGGCGAATGTCACAACACAAGAAGAAAGGCAAATGTCACAACACAAGAAGAAGATCGAGAGTCATAACACAAGAAGAAAGCCGAATGTCATAACACAAGAAGAAGATCGAGAGTCATAACACAAGAAGAAAGCCGAATGTCATAACACAAGAAGTAGATATAGTGTTTCATAACATAAGAAGAAGATCGAGAGTCATAATTAAGAAATACAGTTCGCTCTACCACCATGTATAGTGTGATAAAACAAACTTTCACCCTGAACTATTATAGTTAAAGTACGAGGACGCTTGCGATAATTACAATTAATTTAAGGCAGAAAACAAACGACGGTGTCGGTGACCTAAATTAAGAATCCCCGCACAGGGATAACTGGCGCGCTGTTCTATTAATGTGTCTGCCCCCCTACGTTAAGACGAACGTTACCAGAAAAAAACAAATGATAACAGTTTGATGCACGGTTTACGTTCGGATTAAATATCTTCTCTGAATTATTTTAATTACATCTGTCATTAACGTAAACCATATAGGGCAATATGAACGTCGCATTTCTACCACCAACGTAAGTTTAGATCATTACATCCAGATGAAGCTGAGTAGTCAAGCGACATTCCACGATTGCAATGTGGGAACGTAAACATTGCGAACGTTACCGTGTCGCTGAAAACTTGTGAGTCGAATTGACACATTTTAACCGTCGTAAAACATAAACGTAATGTTTCCACCAGTGATGTTAGCTGCGTGAAGCAACTGCAAACCAAGAAACGGGATGCAACGGAGTAGTTTACTGTAGGAGGCCGTACGAGGCGATGACAACTGACATGCATCGTGACGTCGCTTACATTGTGACGTAATGTAAAATGGTTCGATTACGGGACGGCACACTAGAATGGCGCAGTGACGGGATAACGTCATTCAATTGTTACGTCATCAAAAAACTATACCTGTATTATGTCTTTCAGTGGCATTTAGAAGTTGTACATTGATGTCCAAGATATTTTTATGGATTAAACTTCTTTTTGTGACGTCATAACTCAGTTATGACGTCATAGTGACGACGTCATAGTCCTAACTGCCAGTTCACCTGATGAAGGGACCTGGAATGGTCTCGAAACGTTGTGAGAGAAATTAAAAAAGAAGTTTAATCCATAAAAATATACCTTTATTGTCTGATAATGTATTTTTTTTCGATTGTTCTAACCGCTAGGCATCTTAGAACACAAGAAGAAAGCCGAATGTCATAACACAAGAAGTAGATAGTGTTTCATAACACAAGAAGAAGATCGAGAGTCATAACACAAGAAGAAGACCGAATGTCATAACACAGCAAGTAGATAGTGTTTCATAACACAAGAAGATGATCGAATATACAATTCGACAACACAAACAACAGGTTCGTGACGACAACGCCGACGACAGCAACAACACCGTGTTACCCCATAAGTCGATGGCCGTTTAGACGTCTGTATGTACTTCAGG